AGTTCCCAGCAAGCAAAGTAGGATTAGAGGTGATGTCGCCTTAGGATGGGTCCCAACTGGGGGGCGGGCGGGCCATAGGTTCTCCACCGAGCCTATTTCTTCCGTATTCCATCCAAGCCTAGCCCAAAACAGACGGGCAATGACACAGTCCAAAATGATATGGTTTGCATCCTCATTGCTCCTCTTACACAGGTCACAAGTTGCATCCGTGAGCACGCCTTTCTTCTCCAGGTTCACCTTGCATTGTATGTAGTAGGAGCCAGGCGAAGAATCGTACCCTAGGGGGTGCGAAGTTGCGCCAGACAAAGGCAAAGGATGGAAGATGTTGCTCCCCTCTAATTGACGCCCAGTAAATCAAGCCCGTTGTTAGCTTGTGGTCTTCTTTTTTTCAAAAGCACAAACTCTCTCGTCTTGTACCTCTATCAGGGGTCACGTCCTGTAATAGCTGCTGCAACTGAAGTAGCTCACTTGTTGCTCTCGGGGTGAGTCGTGGTTGAAGTAGAGAAGAGAATGAGGTTTCAGACCCATCTCCAACCTTGACATAGGAGATAGATACTGCGGTATGCCGGCAGCGGCAGCACACTTCTCAAGGCCTCCAATGGTCACCGGCGATGCCCCCCCTGGAGCCCCACTATTTGGACTTGCTGCCTTGCCCAAGCTGCCCATGAGGAGTCATTCGGATGGTGTAGACTGTGCGTTCTGGGTGTCCAGCCTCCTGATGCGAAGCCCTCCATCTTCTTTCATGGTGCACACTTTCTCCCAAGCCACTAGACACTTGGCGCCAGAGGTTTTGTCGGAGCCGTTCCAGAGGAACGCCCGGCGTTTGGCGTCTAAGGCTTCTTTGATCCCTACCGGCAAGGCCATCCAGAACCAACACGAGTCGTATGTGAAAATGTGTATTCGTATTTATAGTTGTAACGTAAAATTGCGCTACTCCCAATAATTCTTAACAGTGTGGGCTGCTTTGATGTGTAGCATGGACCAATCGGCGACCGCTAACCGAACAAAAGGCTGGTTAACGTATTATGGGCTCCTCGGATCGGGTGGCGTATATACCTAGCTCAACAAATGCCGGGTAGGGCTGCCAGCCTGGCGCCTCGATCGTCATGTGGGGACGGTTTGAACGACAACAGCCCTGTTCGCAAGGAACTTTGAACGAGGAAGAAAAGTGTCGTTTGACCACGCCTCACGCGCGCAGTCAAATGGCCGGTGTGGACGCGTGGTGCCGCTGTGTCTCCTGTCGGACTAGGGGATCAGAACCAAAGACTTCCGTTCCGTATCTCCTCCATCCGTCCCTTTCCTGAGTTACCGAATTCGCTTTCTCAACCCAACGCTCTGCTATATATACACTCCTACCACTACGCCTGCCCTCGGCATCTTTAGCCAGCACAGCCCAGTCGGCAGTCGTGACCGGTGACCCGATGCTCGCTCGTCGGATCGTCGTCGCCGTCTCCGATCTCCGCACGCTCCCCACCACGTGTACACCAACATGGACCGGCAGTATGCCGGACTAACCAAGTTAGCCCTGGGCGTCCTCACCTTCAACTCGGTGCTCGCCATCTACAACTCCTGGGGCGACGCGAGCTCCGTCTCGTTCGTGCTCGCCGCGGACGCCATCCTCGTGCTGCTCTTCCTCTGCCTCCGTGCGTCGGAGCAGGAGCGGGGCGGCAGGGGCAGGGATATCAGGAACAGAGCCGCGGTGTGGACGCTGACGACGCTGCTCTCGGCCATGTTCGCGTCAAGGGTGGCGCCGCTGATGCCACCGGTCGTCGGCGCGATTGTCTGGGCGATGGCCGTCGCCACGGCCGCCGGCGGCTTTTGGGCGTTCTTCCTCAACTGAATCCTTGATGCATGCGTCCGTGGAGAGATCTTGTGGGTGCATGCGCAGGAGAATTTGTTCAAGAGTTTCTAGTTTGCAGTTTGTATGTATACCATGTTGTATGCAGAAGATAGATTGTTTGAAAAGGCTGTATTAAGTGATTTATTATATATGCGCTGCTTTCCATTACGATGAAGTAATAAGGTGCCCGTCTGTCCATCCCATCCTTTAAACGGTAATTGCCGTAGTGCCTTCTTTTTACCGTCTCGTACGTACGGTACGTCTAAAGAACAGCGACACCCGCGCGTCAGCTACTGGTACAAAGGTGCCACGATATGAAGCATGAAGGCCCAGCTGATTTTCCAATGGAATCGTGTCTGCCTCGTGCATGCCGACGACGCTGTCGACACGCAGCTTCCATCAGCGTCGTTGGCGGCGTCGGTGTTCACAGCTCTGTATCCACAGTCATAGATGCAGTCCGAGGCACGACAGCCTGGCCCAAAGCACAACATCTTGCCCTGGCACGGGCCTGGCCCGGCCCGGCCCAGTGTATAGGGTCGTGCCTGGCCGCATGCTAGGCGGCCCGGTTCGACACAACATTTAGACAGGCCCGGTGGCGGCCCAGTCACCTCCACAGTCTGCTAAGAGCCCACCGCTCCCCAACCCTAAGTCCTAACTCATTTCCCCCTCCCCTCCTCACCCCGCCGCACTCTCCCTCTCGGCTCTCGCTCGCGCTCGTGAATCTCGCAAGTCACAAGTCTCCCTCTCGGCCCTCCCGCTCGTGGCCCCGCGCTCCCCATCCGCTCCGACTCGTAGAGCGCCGCCGCCGCTCTACCACGTAACCTGCAGGCGCTCGCTACCTTCTTCTTCTTTCCCCACGGGTCGCGCCCTTCTTCCCTGCCAACATTAGCTCCGCCCTACAGCCAGAAAAAGGGCTCGACAGGCCGGTCCGGGCCGGCCCATTGGCCATCTATTTCCGCAGTCCGCTCCACGGCTGGGACACATGGACGGTGTTGCCGTGGTGACTAGCGGAAGGCTGACCACGAAACCGCGGTGCTTCCGGCTTCCGCGACGCCCTGTCTGAAATCATGGTGCTGGGTTGGCGTTGCGGGGCGGGACGCCAGTCTGCTGCATCGCGCGTGTAGTCATCACGGGGAGCTTTCGTGGTCCACGCGCTCACGAACAGACCGAAATGGCTTTCGTGGCCCATTGCTGTTGTAAATAATCTCGCTGGAGACTGGACCCATGGCCTGATTTTTTACAATTTAGCCTTTTTTAAAAAAAAATTATGTTTGGCTCCCCGGGAGAAGTAAATTTATCTTTGGACCCTGGAGGTCGGCGCCAGGACTCATGGCGCCGAGGTAATACGTCTCGGCGCCATAGATCTTGGCGCCGAGGTGCCTGACCGAGATCCTAGGTGATGTTGACGTGGCCGATACCTCGGCGCCATAATACATGGTGCTAAGGTCGGCGCCAAGCAGCCTGTTCGGGAAGCCGTATCGTATCGTGGATTATTTACTGCTGGCTGGTTTGGTGTGAGAGAAAAACACTATTCCCGACTAAAAATTTACTATCGTTTACGAGCAAGCGAACAGGCCGAAGATCTATGGCGTCGAGCGTAGATATCTGCGGCGCATGCATTGAATGAAAGCAGCTGTCCGTCGCACGTAAAGACGGCAGCAAAAGCAGCTCCCGTGTTTCCGACCCCGCGCGGCGGACCAGGGCGGCGGGCGGGGTGCGTGGGCGTCGTGTGCGTGGGCGTGCATGGGCCGCCCCGCGCCGCCCGTGTCGGTGGGACGCGTCAAGGCGCAAGCAAACAACGCAGCGCCGGAGCAGCAGCAGACCGTGCCGATGGATTGGATGGTGGTAAACAACGATTTTGCACTGGATTTTCTCTTTCATGCTATTGATCGACTGTGTATCTGCGGATCGGGGAGCTGGCAGGGCTGGCCGTGGGCGCAACCATCCTGCTTAGCGTGCTCATTGCCGGGTAACTACTCTACGTATCACTCTTCATGACGTACTATATACATGGCCTCAAATATATATTTTCTCCAAATATTACTCCTAAGTAGCAGTAATTACTAATTAGTAGGGCATTTGCATGAACATCAACCGGGTTGTCACAGGAATAACTTTAAGCTTTTTAACTTTTCACACTGCGTGCACAAAGCGACAAACTATCAGCAGCAGCTACTGAGCCACAACAGCCCACAGCGGCCGCGCGCTGCCGTGTTGGTGTGGTGCCTGTCTCTCGCGGTGCGGAAAGGAGATAGAGATACTAGTAGAGAAGGAGAAGCGAGGAGAGAGAGCGGCAGGCAGGCAATAAATGGCAGTTTAGGTGCGCGCAGGCTGATGGCGGGTCAGGCGCCTCTGTCTCATCCAGTCATCCATCCACCCACGCTGCTCCGGCGCTGCGTTGTTTGCTTGCGCCTTGACGCGTCCCACCGATACGGGCGGCGCGGGGCGGCCCACGCACACGACGCACACGACGCACACGCACCACGCCCGCCGCGCGGGGTCAAGACCGGGAAACACGGGAGCTGCTTTTGCTGCCGTCTTTACGTGCGACGGACAGCTGCTTTCATTCAATGCAGGCGCCGCAGACGTCCATGCTCGGCGCAAGAGTTCGTGGCGCCGAGGTCGACGGCACGGATCTGGGCTTCGACCTCGGATCCTCTTCTTTAATTGGAAAAAAAAAAGCTACGACGTTCCTTAGCTTGCAAGTTTCACATACCCCCACGAGAGCCCGCCGGCTCGACGACCTTGCTGCCCTAAAAGCTAAGCAAGCTCACAGGTCGAAACCCTTTATTTTAATCAAATCACAATACACACAAATACTCACGTAGTTGCATATACACTTATTATCTCTACATTTTCATACACTACTCCTGTAACCATCTATAAACACACAAAGCCTGCAATTTTTTAGGCTGATGAAATCATCACAAACACTTCGCTGTCCACGAATAGCCACCTAAAGAATAGTGTCATCATCCTGCTCCTATGAGCACATTAAAAAAAAGTCTCTATTCCCGTGTCACGTGGGGCAAGCAATAGTAGAGGCTAGCATTTAGGAGGTTTCAATCTCAGCCGCACATGCAGAACGCATCTCCATGTTGCTAGTGGCCATGGGCCTATTTATCCTTTGTAACGCACTCGGAAGATCGTTCGATTTCACATGGCCGACCGAGGATATTCCACCCTGACCAAGCTCGGCTTGGGCGCCCTGACCTTCAACTCGGCGCTCGCCATCTACAACTCCTGGGGTGACGCCGGCTCCGTGGCGTTCGTGCTCGGCGCGGACGCAGCGCTCGTGCTGCTCTTCCTCTGCCTCCGTGAGTTTGAGCGGGGCGGCGGCCGGGGCAGGGATGCCAAGGTGAAAGCCGCGGTGTGGGCGCTCACCACGCTGCTCACGCGGATCAGTTTGCGGTGTCGAAGAGACCGATCCAGGCGGTGTGGCCGCAGACTCAGCCGCAGATGATCCGGCCTGGGATAGGATCGGTGAGGCCCCAGGTTCCAATCCCGAAGGTGATCGCGCCTGACTGCCTGATGCTGCCGTAGTCGTACCGGACGGATCCGCCTCGGCCGCTGCGCTGTCGCCAGATGGGTGACACAGCCAATAATGCCTGCCAACAGCAGCAGTTTTTCTTGTCCCTGCAGCGTTTTCGCCATGGTTTGTTCCTGTACCATCAACATACGATGCATGGCTCGATGGCCGGTTAGTAAAGACAGGAGAAAGCAAATGCTGGTCACCAATTTTTGCATTCTCAAAAACCGAGGAAGGGTTCTTAAGGATATCGGGAAGGAGAGCAAGCTCGGCTCGAAGCTGTGCTCCTGCGTTGGGATGAAGAGAGGAGAAAGGAAAAACTTCTTCATCGAAGACAACATCCCGGGATATGTAAACTCTCCCTTCTTTTGGGTCTAAGCATTTGAAACCTTTGTGCATATTGCTATATCCTAGAAACACACATTGCTTGGATATGAATTCAAGTTTCTTGGAATTGTATGGGCGCAAATTTGGCCATACAGCGCAGCCAAAGGTGCGTAGGAAGGTGTATTCTGGTGGACGGCCAAAGAGTTTCTCAAAGGGGGTTTTGTCATCAATGATTTTAGACGGCAAGCGATTTATAAGAAAGACTGCAGTGAGAAAAGCTTCATCCCAGAATTTTAGAGGCATAGAGGCGTGTGCAAGGAGGGTAAGACCCATCTCAACAATGTGTCGGTGCTTGCGTTCGACCGACCCATTTTGTTGATGCGCATGAGGGCATGAAACATGATGTTCTACACCTATGCGCCTGAAAAAGGAGTTTAGTGCTTGATATTCCCCTCCCCAATCTGTTTGTATGACACGAATTTTCTGATCAAATTGTCGCTCAACAAGTTTTTGAAAATCTTGAAAACACTGATAGACTTCAGATTTGTGTTTCAACAAATATATCCAGACAAACTTACCGTGATCATCAATGAAACTCACATAATAATTATGGCGACCAATAGAGTTGGGGGCAGGGCCCCATACATCGGAAAAAACGAGATCCATAGGATGACTCGACACACTGGTAGATCTAGGGTAAGGCAATTGATGACTCTTGCCTGACTGACATGCATCACACACCCTAGTATTATTTTGACTATGGGAAACAGGAAGCTTATGGCGGCTTAGGACCTGCTGGATGACCGAGATGATGCATGGCCCAGCCTGCGATGCCATAGCGAAGTGGAAGGCTTGACTGCACCAAAAGCTTGTTTATTTGGAGACGACTTGGATGGTAGCTTCAAAGGATAGAGCCCCTCTCACATCTGCGCCTGTGTGGAGGATTTTCTTGACACACTGTTCCTTAATGGAAAAATGGTGGGGTGGAATTCAAGAAAAACATTATTATCACGAAGCGAGTCGATTTACTAAGCAGAGATTTTATGTGCTTGTGGGACATGAAGAATATTTCGGAGATGAAGATTAGGTGAATGCAAATAACTGTGACCAACATTAGCAATCTCCATACCTGCCCGTTTGCGGCATGCACCGATCACCGCCGTGATACTTGTCACGGACGGTCAACTTCTCCAACTCGCCCGGTGACATGATCCGTGGCTCCAAAGTGTCCATGTACCAATTTGTGTCGACCTTTGTATGAACCTGGTGGCAGCAGCAGCAGTCTTTTGTGGAGGACCCCGATAAGATGAATCATACCGTTTGAAGCATCGGTAGGCGGTATCCTTCCTTGCCTGCAGACTTGGCCATAGACGCCTGGTTCAAAACGCCCGCCATCTGCGTCCTCCTTTTCGTCTTCGCGGCCGCCACCACGGCCTCCACGCCCGCCATCGCGCGCGTTGTTGTTAGATTCTGCCGCCACCACGGCCATCCTTGGTGGCCATGTTCACTGAGGACTGCTGTCCCCACTCCACGGCCTCCATGCGCTGCTCAAAGGAGATAAGCTGCGCGATAGAGCTCGTTCACGGTGATCGGTTCAACTCGCGCCGCCACCGCTGTCACCACTGGATCATATTCTGATCTAGCCCGGTCAAGATGTAGGAGATGAGTTCCTCATCTTCGAGCTTACATCCGGCAGATGCCATCTCGTCTCCCGAGCCTTCATCTTCGTGAAGAACTTCATTGATCGAGGATGCACCCTTGGACGCGTAGCAAGAGCCATTCTCAGCTGATGATTCGGGCTCTTGATTGTGACGCATGAAGCGCTGAATCGCATCCACGCCTCCGCTGCGGTGGTCACCGCAGATGATCCGAGATCCGATCTCGCGTGAGAGAGGATCCAAGCAGGTAGGAAAGGACTTGTTGATCTTGGGCTACCCACTTCTTGAACTCGGGGTTCAGAATGGGTGCGATCTCTACGCCTGGCTTCCCATCGTCCGCCTCGTCCTTGGGGGAATGAACTTCTCCGGCGGCTTCTCCGTCGGGTCGATGAACTTTTCCATCTCCGCACTCGGAGGCCGGAGATGACTTGAGCTTCCACATAGGATGATTATTCTGGTCAACTTCTCCTTGACCGGGAACATGCCGAGAGGGAAAAACCGGCAAGGGCGCGCGGGCGGTGGAAGGGGATGCAAGCGCCATGTTTTTCCGCTAGGATAGATGCTCTGATTACCATGTGAGAATTGGTGGAACGTGGTACCTTCTCAGGTCCATGGTTGCGTGTTATATATGCACATATATGGTTACAACAAGAAAACAAGGAGAGTCCTACAATCAAGGATCACCTCCCATCTACAATACACGCATGCATGAGTCTAAGATACAATGAACCTAGACTAACACATATGCTTATCATCTAACACCGCGCTCCTACTCCCTCTGCCGGTCCCTCTCTCCCCCCCACGCCCCATGCCGAACGAGTGGTTGCACGAGCTCACAAGCGCTGCCCCACGCCGCGTACACCCCACGTTGAACGAGTGGCCGCACATGCTCCCATGCACTGTCCCGTAGAAAGGACCGGTGCAGGCTCTTTTTTTTCTTGGCTGTCACGCGCGGGGTCAGTTCGTACGGACGGAAGGACCAAATTCATTGCCAGGTCTACATATGCGTCAACCCAGCCAAGCAACATTCGCTGAACCTGCAGGAAGGTACCACGAGGCGAGCTCATCTCTATACAAAGAGCTATCCTGCACACTCACGTTTTTCTTATGATTTTTGGAGCCAGACGCGGCGATGCACAAAGACTAAGCCCGTGTTTAGTTTCAGGAAGTTGGAATTTTGGGCTACTGTAGCACTTTTCGTTTTTATTTAACAATTAGTGTTCAAACATGGACTAATTAGGCTCAAAACGTTCGTCTCGCAATTTCCTATCAAACTGTGCAATTAGTTTTTTTTCGTCTACATTTAATGCTCCATGCATGGACCGCAAACATTCGATGTGATGGCTATTGTAGCACTTTTTGAGATTTTGGGTTGGAACTAAAAGATGGCGTGGAAGGTGAATCAGCTGCACGTCAGAAGCTCGGATGGCTGTCATCCTACGGCAGTGCCACCCCCACCGCAGGGCACGACACGTCATTCTGAGTCAGATGCCCGATGGCAAGGCTCCGTGCGATGCGATCGCGAAATGGCGGCCACGTCGCGCGTGTCGGACACAACACAATTCACAGCGCGTGCGGTGCGAGCCAGGCCCAGCATGAACTGAGGGATAGGGAAGAGTTGAACAAAACTTGGCCTCGATCGTACGCGCCGCCGCGTCTTCAGTCGTCTGTCCAAACGACGACCCGGCCACTGGTACAAAAGGAAGAAGCCTTCGCCTTTCACCAGCAGCCGTATATCAACTCTTGTGCTCGCTTTGTCCCCCTCTCCGCGCGCGGAAGATTGTTCGATTTCACATGGCCGACCGAGGATATTCCACCCTGACCAAGCTCGGCTTGGGCGCCCTGACCTTCAACTCGGCGCTCGCCATCTACAACTCCTGGGGTGACGCCGGCTCCGTGGCGTTCGTGCTCGGCGCGGACGCAGCGCTCGTGCTGCTCTTCCTCTGCCTCCGTGAGTTTGAGCGGGGCGGCGGCCGGGGCAGGGATGCCAAGGTGAAAGCCGCGGTGTCAGTCGATGTCAGTCTGCGTTTTTCCTCTTCCTCTTCCTCTGGTTCGATGTTCGCCTCGAGGGTAGCACCGCTCATGCCGCCGGCCGTGGCCGCGGTGGTCTGGCTCTTGGCCGTCGCCACGGCCGCAGGAGGGTTCTGGGCGTTTTTCCTTAATTAATTAAGTGCCTGTTTAGTTCTTAAAATTTTAAAAAAAATTTCAAGATTCTCCGTCACATCGAATCTTTGGACGCATGCGAAGCATTAAATATAAATAAAAAATAAAACTAATTACACAGTTTAGACGAAATTCACGAGACGAATCTTTTAAGCCTAATTAGACTATGATTGGACACTAATTGTCAAATAACAACGAAAGTGCTACAGTAACATTTAAAAAAAATTCGAACTAAATGCTTTGGAGACGGTCGATGTCTGTCTGCGTTTCGCTGCCGGGCGTGTTCATTTCTTTTTTGCTTCCTGCACTTTCTTGTATTTTTTGCCAGTTCGTCACTTTGAATAAAATCTGCCTTCGAGTTTTCGCTGCTGGCAGAGAGTGGTCCTCTGCTTCTACCCCGTTGACCACCGCTCGTACTCGCCTCAGCGTGTGCTTGATTTGAGACGTGGCAGGACGGAACGGTCTTGTCCCTAATTTTTTAGGCTGGACAAATCTGTTCTGCGTTTGGTTGAGATGTTTTTTGTTTATTCGGTAGAACATGGCCATGGTTCACGGCGCCGAGCTTTGGTCACGTCAGCGTCACGTCGACAGCCACGTAATTTGTAGCCTCCAATGTCATGGCGCTGAGACGTGTTACCTCGGCGATGTAGGGCATGGCGTTGAGAAAAGGATCCAAAGTTAAATTTACGTCGTCCAGTGGTGTAAACGTGAATTTTGACAAAAAAAGGGCTAAATTTGCACACACAAAAATTGGCCAAATAAGGGGTATATTCCACTCGAAAATGG